TCCTAGATATATTGATAATGTATCAAGAATAAAAGACACCTCTTTTATTTCTTGATACATAAATCAAGATTGGCCTATAGCAAGACATCATACTACCTAGTTCTCTAAGAGGATTAATTAGTCCATAATTACCTTTCACTAGCATAGTTATTACCATATAATTCAGTATTTATGTCAATTTATTACGAGTGTGATCTCGAACTTGATTTTTAAAATCTATTCGATTATGATCACATAAATTTTTTTGATTCTTAAATGTCTTAGCTTCTAGAGTAAACCAACTATGCCCATTAGTATACTTCTATCGTGGCCACAGATTCTTTGAGCAGACATTCATCAAAGTGCAATTTGAGAACTTCTTTAGAATATAAAGAATGATATGTCATATCCTAGTCATCCACATATCTCTATTAGATTCCTAGTGTATCCAATGAATCACCCACGTCCAACTCATGACCGAGTCTATTGAAATGAGTGTTAAAGTACATAAATCCTTTAATGAGATAACCGTGATGGCTTCAAGTTAAAGGACCGGTTCTACCCATTTTGTATAAGACTCTTATAGACTAAACCAAATGGCTTATCATGGCGAGTCATGTCCAGGTGATATATTTTCTCACATTAATCACATAAGTGCTTGCTTTGGCATCACCATGTTAATAAATATGAGATCTCCTATTACTATCTTATAGCATGAGCATAGTACTCATAAGCCTTATCGCATATAGTTAATATCCATTCTTGACAATACTATGACTTGGGATATTTAATGATATCACTTAAATGCATCAATGTTTATCTCACATCAATTAACCAATCATTATGTAAAGTATATTATATGAACTTCTATCTAATTCTATTAAATTATAAAAATAAAAATTAATAGAAAAACTTTTTTTGTTAATATATGAAAATATAACATTACAACAAATCAAATCATCCAAATAAAGTTGGATCTTGGGCACCTACACTCACATGTTTTATGCTCATTAGTAGACATGTATCTAGGTTATATTGTTTTAAAAGGTACTTTGTCGAGGTTATAGGATTCCTTGTTGTCCCATTTGTTAGGTCAAGTTAGATTGTCCTCCTTTATATCTTTTTCATGATTATTAATAAATTATTAGGGTACCATTCTTTTTTTTTTTACAAGAAAAAGATATACAAAGCTACTATTTAAAATCTAACTTAATCGATAACTTTAAACTCCTCCGATCTTAAGTCAAAATTCAATCAAGATTTTCATCCAAACTAAATTTAAGGTATAATAAAATAAAATTAAGAAGTGAAGGCCTAACTTATAGATTGTTGAGCTGTTAGGGTTTAATGTTAGTGTAGGTGCCCAAGTCCAACCTTATTTAGATGGTTTGATGTATTGTAACATTGTATTTCTATATTAATAAATGAAGTATTTCTATTAATTCTTATTATTTATAATTTGATAGAATTAGATAAAAGTCCATATGATATGCATTGCATTAATAATTGATTAAAAGATATGAGATAAACATCATTGTAGTTAAATGATATCATTAAATATCCTAAGTCATAGCATTATCAAGAATAGACATCGACTATATACGAGTAAGACTTGTGAGTGTTATACTTATGCTACAAGATAAGTAGTAGGAGATCTCATACCTATTGACTCGGTGATGCCAAATCAAGCACTTCGATGATTAATGTTAGAGAACATATTACTAGACGTAACTTGTCGTAAGAATCCATTTGGTTTAGCTCTATATGAATCTCATACGAGATGGGTGAAGCTCGGTCATTTGACTTGAAGTCATCATAGTTATCTCATTAAAGGATTTATGTACTTTGATACTGTTTCGATGGACTTAGTCAAAAACTCGTATGTGGATGATTCGTTGGGTGCACTAGGAATCTAATAAAGATAGGTGGATGACTAAGATGGGGCATGTCATTCCTTATATATTAGAAGAGTTATCACATTTTACTTCGATGAATGTCTACTTAAGGAATCGATGACAATAATGGGAGTATAATAATAGAGCATAATTGGTTTACTTTAGAGCCAAGATATTTAGAAATTAAAGGAAACATACATAATCATAATCCAATAGACAATAAATCAAGTTTGAGATCATATTGTGATAAATTGACATGAGAACTAAATTGTATGGTAACCATGCTCATGAAAGGTAATTACGAATTAATTAATCCTCCTAAAGAATTAGGTAGTCATGATACCTTGCTAAAGGCCAATCTTCATTTATGTATTAAGAGATAAAAGATGTGTATTTTATTCTTGATATATTGTCGGCATTTCTAAGAGCCTATTTAGTCATACGTATAAGTTTAAACATTCACACGATAAAAAAGAAGCAAAGATTTTGAAAAAGTTTCTTGTTTTAGAAAAAATTTCTTAAAATAGAATGTTTTCTATTTTAGAAATCAATTTCCTAATTAGGAAGATAGTTTCAAATTTCGAAGTCGAGTTATCTATGAAGGAAATTAGATTCCTAATTTAGGTTTAAGAGTAATTTGAGAAATTATTTTCTATTGTGGGTCTTATTAAAATACTTGACCCAATTTATTGGATGATCCAAATTAATTGATAATTAATTTGGCCAAAAGAGTTTAGGCCAATAGGTTTAATTTAAAAACCCACAAGATATTTTAATGGAATGATAAACTTGAGTACTATTGGATATGGCTCAATATGTATAAGGATAAGGTTAGACAAAATCCACATAGACAACATTTTATTGACTCGCAAGGAGAAGTTATTGCCTCTTACATAAATAAAAGAGAGAGAGCAAGCATCGAATGCAACCAAAAGAGAAAAATCATGACATAAAGAAAAAAATAAAGAGAAAACGTTTCTCTCCTTAAAAAGAAAAGGTTGTCGTATCTCTCTCTAAAAGCCAAAAGTGGGCGCAAAATACCTTATAGAATTTCTAGAGCTAATCAATAACACAAAAGGATTGGAGCTAGCACTCTATGATTTTTTTTGCTTCTTGTGTGGGTGTTTAAGTCGCGTGGATAATCAATAGAGTTCGGACACTTATAAGATTCCCTTGTTGCTTGAGTTAATTTCGTGCTATAAAAGATAATCATTCAAATATATTTATATTCACCTTTTTGTATGATTAGTTGATTTAACGACATGATCTTAGGAATCCTAGATGGAGAAAATTTTTTATTTATTCCGTACCTCCATAAAATGCATGATCTTTCATTTAATTCTAGATGATTTTCGTGAGATTAATGACCTCATTACACCTTTAAGTTAGAATGCGGTCAAAGAACTCCCATTGGTTGATCAAGTCGGGAATATATAAAACAAACCCTAAGCAACCCACAAGGATTCAAGAGTTTAGAGAGAAACTTCTCAAGTATTTAATTAATTCTCAAAGCATGAAAATATGTCTCTCTACAAGCATTAGACACTTGTTTATACTAGTTTAAGGTTAGTCACACAAGGCTTAATTGTTCTTATGAAATTCAGCTAATAAGTAATAAGGATAAGATAAAAAAAAAAAAAAAAAAAACTTATCCAAGCATGCATTACAAAACTCTAGTCTCACATTCTTCATGACTCTATCATTCTATCCTTATCTAGTTTAAGTGAAAAAAAAAAAAAATCCTCACTCTACTAGAGTCAATGTTACATTCAAATTATGAGAAGCACAATTATCCTACACATAAGATAATATTAAGAATAATCTTATCATAATAAAGATGAATTTCAACCAATAAAAAAAACATATTGATTAATTCGCGCGTGATCTTAAGGTTTCTTTGAATATCTTAGACCATCTTTGAATATCTTAGACCACATTCCGTGTTAGATTATTTTATTCTAACAAAGGTGAATTTCAACTCATAAAAAAAAAAAATTCCTTTGGCTTAATTAACTTGAATTTTTGGCCCAAACGAGGATGTTTGGACTACATGCTCAATCAATTTCTAAGACCAGATATGAACGCTAGTTATGTAATAATACTCATGTTTATCCTTCTATAGTTTGGACCTTATGCTAGACTAAAAAAAAAAAAAAAAAAGCCATCCTCAATCATTTGATATACATTTTGAATACATGCTAAAGTAAATAATAATAATACATTAAAAAATTATTTAATTTTAAGGATTAATACTATCACTTGTTCTTATATAACGAGCTAATTTTTCAATTTGTCCATAAAAGAAAAAAACGCCTCTAATTTATCCTTATATTTTGAACTTGTTTCTAGTCTATTCTTCTAGTCAAAATTTTCGACTAATATTCAAAAATTAATCATTATATTAGTAGATATAGATTACTTGTGCCAAATAACAAAATAATTTTATTAAATTACATACTATGTGCAAATTACATGTTTAATTTCACTTAATTTAGTCGAAAATTTTAACTAAAAAGATAAATTAGAAGCCAGTTAAAAATTTAATAAAAATTTAAAGACAAATTAGAAATTTGTTTTTGATGTATTGAAAATTTAGTGTTTATACAAGGATAAATTATGATATTAACGTTAATTTTAATGACAAATTGAGCACTTATCAAGTGAAAAGTTTAATGCACTGGGAATGTAATGCCCCAACATATCAAGTGAGATACTCCAAGTCAAAAGAAATTTCACAAAGAATTGATTAACAGTTTTGAAAAGAGGATAAATATTAAACAGGAAAAAAAAAAATCATATATTCTGATTAATTATGCCTCACTTTCGCGGCAGGAACAATGCTAAGCATCGAATCTAAATTTTGCCCGCAAGGAAATGCTCTATGGCATCGCATGTCATCTTTCTATTGGCTCGACCAGCTCTAAAACTCAAGTTAAACCGAAGTCATGCCAGTCAATTAATAAATCATCCTTTGTGGCCTTCCCTTCACCATCACCTCCTAACTCAGCTCAGCTCAGGTGAAGTGCACGGTGCGTTACGTCCACTGCACTGCCAGTTTGGTGGTACATAAAAGATTCAGCACAAAATCTAATAGTCCTCCGGAGACAAGACCGAGAAAAAAATAAAATGAACAAAGCGCAGTCAAAGCTATTGAAGATCGTTATCTTTCTCTTTGCTCTTAACGCCCTCTCTCTTTGGCTCTACTTTTCCTCTAACCACCATAACTCTAACAACAAACAAACGGAATACCACTCTTCTCAAACATCAAACCACCGTTCGGGAACGGAAAACAACAATAACAGTAATTTCCATCTAAAAGCTTGGCCAATACTGCCTTCTTACCTCCCTTGGACTCAAAACCCTAACAAAGTCACCTTCCGTTCATGCGAAGCCTACTTCGGAAACGGCTTTAGCCGCCGCATCGACGTATACTCGAGCGGCGGATGGTTCAGGTGCTATTACAGCGAGACATTAAGGAGCTCGATATGCGAGGGAGGGAGTGTACGGATGGTTCCGGAGAGGATTAAAATGTCGAGCGGAGGTGAGAGGATCGAGGACGTTATTGGTAGAAGTGAGGAGGAGGAGTTGCCTGATTTCGAAAGCGGTGCGTTTGAGATTCTTGGATTTGAAAGGAGATCGAAATGGCTTGTTGATGAAGGTTTTTTAGATGCGTATGTTCCTGATGGGGGTATAATGCGGCACACCATGCGTGGGTTGATCCGATCCATTCGGGTTGTGGATAATAATAGTAAGAAGTTTCATTGCGATCAGGTAAAGGATTAGTTTTATTTTTATTTTATTTATCTTTTTTTTTTCATTTTTTTTATATGAGATTGAAATGCTAATTTAATTAATGAACGACTGGAGCGGAAGGGACTTTAATGAAATCATAGAAGAAAACAAATTGGTTTTACATAAGTTTATGTAGATTAAATTATGGTGGTTTCTTTCTACTTTCGCCTTCACCTGTGCTTGCCTCTTATTTATGGTAATGTAATAAATCTATCTGCTTGCAGTGGATTGAGGAGCCAACCCTTTTGGTCACCAGATTTGAGTATGCAAATCTTTTTCACACTGTCACAGATTGGTACAATGCATATGTTGCGTCCAGAGTCACCGACTTGCCTTATCGACCTCACGTGATTTTTGTGGATGGCCACTCTAGAGTATGTTATGCTCTCTGTTTTGCATTCATGATTTATCAGCTCTTTAAGATAATTATTTGCATGATTGAAGAGATAGATATTGCATATGAGGCGTTAATTAATTTTATGCTTAAATTGGTTCGTTTGGCTCAAAGGGAGAACTGGAAGAGAGGGAGAGAGATTCTAGATTTAGGAATGAATTACAGTGGAGTACTTATCAATTAACTGCATGAGAAGTTTGATTTTAATTAATTTTATGCTTAAATTGGTTCGTTTGGCTCGTTTAGTATTGAATTTTATAGGTCAGTGAAAGGGAGATCTGGAAGAGAGGGAGAGAGATCGTAGATCTAGGGATGAATTACAGTGGAGTACTTCTCAATTAACTGCATGAGAAGTTTGATTTTAGAAGCATGCTTGAACAACTCTTGCCATGATTCCTGTGAATTTTACACTCCCATTTATATCGCATACTTGTTCTTTTGAATGCTGTCACTCGCTCCACTGTCCAGATTGCTTCAAGATGCTCACCCAACCCCCAACTGTGTTGCTGCTATGTCATTCTAAAACAAGTTCATTATTCTATTCTAAATATGCATTTTTCGTTCTTAATATTTGGTCAATCCAATTCTTTTGAATGAGTGATCAATAATCATGATTTTAGCAGGAGATATGCTAGCTGCCATAAGTTTTTTTTCCCTTGTACCAGTCATCCTCTACTATTTTTATTTTTATTTTTTTCCCCTTTGTTTGTGAAATTTCAAGTACCCCATGGTTAGTCTTTTCAATCTTCCGGACAAGCTTGTCGTCATGCTTTCTTTTTTACTTGTGAAGCATAACTACTACTTGCAGCAATTTCTCCTCATTTGAACCAAAATTGTAATGTCCTGTCACTTTGAATGTTGTTATTGCTTTGCTTCTTTGCTTCTGTTCTACTTAGTTGGGAAACATGAGAGGGCTAGATGTTGTAATTTTTCACGTAACTGACCCAATGAAATATTGGGCAGGTTTAAATTACTTAAATGAGCTCCCCCATTCCTCACAAATGTACTCTGCTTTCCTTGATCTAATATGTGTAGGATGCTAATCCATGTTTGTGTTACTTGACCTGCTGATGATGACAAATTTCAGACACCCTTGGAAGAAACATGGAAAGCATTGTTTTCAAGTCTTAGATATGCTAAGGACTTTAGTGGCTCAGTGTGTCTTCGGCATGCTATTCTTGTCCCTTTGGGATACGAGACTGCACTCTTTAGGGGACTGAGTCAAGAGATAAATTGTCAGGGAGCATCAGCGCATGATCTTTGGCAAAATCCCGATGATAAAAAAACTGCTCGATTGTCAGAGTTTGGAGAGATGATCAGAGCAGCATTTGACTTCCCTATCAATAGACACAGAGCTGAAAAGCCATTTTCTGGGCATGATGTCCTCTTTGTCAGACGTGAAGATTATTTAGCCCATCCGCGCCATGGTGGTAAAGTTGAATCAAGGCTTAGTAATGAACAAGAAGTTTTTGATTCATTGCAGACCTGGGTATCTAACCACTTGGAGTGCAAAGTGAATCTTATCAATGGACTTTTTGCACATATGCCTATGAAGGAACAAGTCCGAGCCGTTCAAGACGCTTCAGTTATTATTGGTGCTCATGGCGCAGGTCTCACTCACATAGTATCTGCAACACCAAAAACAATAATTCTGGAGATTATTAGTAGCTACTTCAGACGCCCACATTTTCAATTGATTGCTAAGTGGAAAGGGTTAGAGTATCATGCTATCTATCTTGATGGATCATATGCAAATCCATCAATTGTCTTAGACAGGTTTAGCAGGATAATGAAAGGTCTTGGATGTTGAAATTCTTTTGGTTACATGTGAAATTGATCAATACTCATGGCAGGGAATTGGAAGGGAGTGCTGAGAAACTCTCTCTGCAGGCATTATTGATCTTCAGGAATCTGCTTTTTTGTTTGTTTGTTTTTTTTTTTTTTAATGCCACATCCTTTCTCTTGCTGAGATTTATTTCTGCATTCCACTCTTTCTCCACAACATTTGTATTTGTGGCTGATTGAAGATACCATATGATGATTTTTCTGTGTAAGTTTATGCGGTCTGTGGTCATCTCAGGAGCACCTTACCTTAAGCAGTGGTACAGGGCAACATGGATGCTATCCCTGAAGTTCGATGAAGATGGTCATTGTTCAACTTTTCAGTCCGTGTGTGGTGGATGGCTTATGTTCTTTGAATATGGTACGTCATCCTGACACTGGTGATAATGGTTCTTGTTAATAGTATATTGGCTTTAGGGAAATTGACTTACAGGCCGGTCCTTGTTTATTTTACGAGATTATCTCATGGTTGCTCACTTTTTCATGCAACACAAAACTACACGGTCAACTTTAATTGAACTACTGCATAATACTAACACGGTTTCTGTTTTCTCTCTCAACTATTTAAGGATAACCACAAACATTATGTTCAGTCCTTTATTTTGTCAGTTGAGTTACACAAACATTTACGTTTTTGCTAAATAAGTCCTATATTAGGCATCTGCTAGAAATTCAGACAATGAAGGAAAAAACCATGAGCAGATCCACAAACACACATATACGTATGAACCCAATATTCTCCCTAAGAGGGCAAAATCCATGGATCCCCATAGCAAGTGCCAAGAAAGAATATATGAACCTGCACTGCCTCTGATAAGATATTTATCAAACCTTATGTGGCAGAAGCCCTGATTCCCTTATAAAGTTTTTTTTGTTCTTCTCAACATTAAAAGATCAAAGTTTCACTCTTTCAAGTGTTCTAGGTATCTCTTCTAACATTTAAGAACATTGGTTTCTTGGTTTGATTTTGGCAAACACACAATGTTAGTGTTTTGTATTAATTAATTTTGTGTCTTTTCCCTTTATTTTATTATGAGATATTCTATAACTAATCTAATTTTACAGTACATGTGAAAGTGTCTTTGAGTGGTAATAGGAGAGTTGATCATGAGAAATTAGATGAGAATAGTTTGGCGGATTACAATTGAATAGGGGATTAGTAGAAGAGAAAACTGAATTTTAATGTCTAACCTTTGATTTTTATATTGTTTGAGCGTTTAAATTTTTATTTACCTACTTAGAGTATCTAACTTTTGATATATATATATATTTTTTTAACTAAAGTGTATTCTGTCACCTGATATTGTCAAATACTGTCGTGGCCAATATCTATTGACACATGGGAAAAAAGTGAGTCTCACTTGAAATTAAAGAAAAACTGTAACTTCAATGCTCAATGTTTGATTTTTATTATATTTAATTATCTAACCTTTTATTTTACTTATTTGAGTGCATTTTAAAATACCGACATGATCAATATCAAATCACACGTGATCGTTTTGTACTAATATGTAGCAAAATGTCTTGCTCAAAATTATCGAGGAAAGAAAAAACATATATATGATAGGTTCTCAAAGGTTCGTTTTTTTTTAAAGACTTATTCATCACTCATTTGATTTAGTGACAAGTAGTTAAAAAATGATATCATTTCCTTCCTGCAAGGTTTAACTGCATTTCCAAACTTCTTTGGTTAATATATAATCCACCAATCTTTTGATCCATTTTTTTCTTTTTTAATACTTGGTTTCAAATGATTTTTGAAGGCGTGTGTAATGAGTGTAAAATCATTTTTTTTCTCAATAATTTTAAATAGGATCCATTTTTTGTTATATGTAATACAAAACGGCCGTATGTCTGTTGATACTGATTACATCTATATTTAATAGTCTCAAGTGATGAAATGCAACCAAATAGAAAAATAATCAGAGGATTAATGACACAAATAAGTAAAATAAAATGTCAGACGTTCAAATAGAGTTTGGGCACAGAAGGTTTTTTTTTTTTTTTTTTCCAGCAAGATCTAACCTTTTATTCTAACTCTTAATCAAGTGTCAATACAAAATGGCCACATAACAGTACCACAAACATGCTCTGTGCCAAGAAATGAGAAGGGGAGCTGGCTACGGTGACGATGGTGATGATGAGCATTTTACATACTTGTTAGATATCCCGTGAAAAAAAAAAAAAAAAAAAAAAAAAAAAAAAAAACCAAAATTGTTAAATAGGGCGATACTGTGTTCTTCGATTGGTTGGTTTATAACCACAAATTGTTAATAAAGAGTATGTTTTGATACGTACGAAGGTAATAGTAAGTAAATTAGCAAATGAAAAGGGAAAGGTTAAAAAGAAGGGAAATATAAAGCACGAGAGAGCACGGAAGTGTGGGATGGATGATTTGGACAGGTTAATGAGATCCGTTAGTAATTTTCAATGGTCAAAAGTGTTTTGCCGTGTCAAGTACTCATGTAAGAATTTAATGGCGATTCCAGCATATATTTCTGAGTGACACGCATTGAACAACAGTCAGCAGTTTAAATATAAACTCAGTGGACGAGTTTTGAAAATTGAAAAAGTTTTTTCAAGTATTTGTGTGGTTATAATTATTACATATTATTGTTGTTGCTATAATTGTTATTAATGTTGCTGCTTTGTGTAGCTAATAAAAGCGTACCATGATTGTTTGAGATGCACATGGCATGGTTAAGGAAAAGAGGAGGGAGGCGGATACTACTTGTGTATGCAAAACTCAGTTAAGAGCTCCCTTTATTCATTTCCACCCAGCAAAGAAAGAAATATCATTTTTGGGAACCAATGCCTTGGTAATGCTGGTGGTGAAACATTGTAGAGTGGAGATTTGGAATGGAGTGTCATACTTTATGACTCCCATAAATTGTAGTGTAGTGGTGGTAATTTTTGTTTTTCTGGATTTGTTAGTGCCACATATATAAACAAACCTTGCAATAACTACATCTACTCTATGTTGTGTGCACTTAATGACATCGGTAGTGAGTGATCGATGGCATGTTAGTGACCATATATTAATTGTCCGGGGGGGGGGTTGGGGTTGAGTGAAGGAGTTGTCACTTAGTATTAAGAAACTAAAACATGATTGCTCTATGTAGAAATCTAGGTAAAGAGTTGGTTTCGTATAGAGAAGATCAAAATCATCCTATCCCGATCTCGTCTAAGGCAAGTTGTATTCGATACATGTTGAAAGTAAATGTTCGATTTTACTATGTTATGAGTCTATGTCTATTCGAGTGTGTTTGTCTTTGGATTGGGATAAATTGATCGAGTGATTTGGGAGTTAGGCAAGTTGAAAGCTTATCTCCACATTCTAAAATAAAATGAAGAAAATGTTTAAGAACCGACATGAGCCCGTAGTGAAATTTAGGTAAGGAGTTGGTTGTATATAAAGAAAACCGAAACCATCATATCCTATCTTATCTAAGACAAACTATAGTGAATGTATGTTGAAAGTAAATGTTTGATCTTACTATTTTATGAGTTTATGTCCGCATTTGTCTTTGGATCGAGATAAATTGATATAGTGGTTTTAGAGTTAGGCCGGTCGAAATCTTATCTCCACACTCTAAAATAAGAAGAAGAAAATGTTTGAAAAATGGTGAGCTCATAGCAGCTATAGCCCTTAAAGCAAACAAAAATGACAAGTTTCCAACGATTGTAACCCATAACTAATCAAAATTGGTGAGTATCCAATGACCGTAGCCCATAACTAAATCAAATGGCGAGCGACTAATTACTACATTCTATAACTAATCAAAATAAATGAATTCCTAACTATTACGATCAAAAAACAAGATTGATGAGCTCCAAACGATGGCTATAACCATAAGACAAGATTAGCGATTTCTAATGACTACGGTTTTTAAACATAAAATCGAATATCACATTTAATTATATACACATACAACGTTAGCTCTTGGAGCTAACTCGACAAACTTAACACACATCTCACATATCACACTCAATTTAACACAAATGCAAATTTTGAATTTTGAGAAATTCATTACATTTACACACATCATAATTTAATATACTTCAAATGTGGCGTTAACGCTAGAAGTTAACCTCAATTAATTTATCACATGTTGTGCATAACACATTCAATTCGAATAGAACATGCAGATAGCATATCATGAATATAATTTTTAGTAGCCCCATCACATGTATAACTCACACAACATTATATTTGTATCAATCATATCACAAGCTAAAAGTATCTTCAATTGTGTACACCAAGATCAACACTCATCATGAATAAAATATTGAAATTAAAACTCATTTTCAGTTCTTCTATCTTCATTGCAAGTGTAACATCCTCGACCTAAGACCTAAATAAGTCAAGAATATTACTAGTAATGTCTCACATTCCTAGTGCAATAAATACAAAACATCAAGTCTCATCTCCTCTCGAGTCCAATTATTTATAATTCATAGTGGAAGTGTATTAAATAATTTAATTAATTCCATTCCTTATTAAAAATTAAGTACAATTTTTTTTTCAAAATAAATTCATTTCATAATAATACTCTTAAATAAAATATTTAGATTTCCCAAATCTCAAAATATGATAAAAAAAAAAAAAAGACTTACATTTATAAAATTCATTTTAAATATTTAAATATAATACCTTGGATTAAATTAAACTAATTTGTGTCTTTTATTTTCCTTAGTTAAATCCATTAAATTTCAAAATTAATTAAAATATTCTACGTATAAGAAATACTCGTTTATATTAAATTCATAGTATATTTTTAAAAAACTGAATTAATTTTAAAATAATCATTTTATTTGAAAAATAATCCATTTACCTTAATTTAATCAATCATTAATTTAGTTAACCTATAATTGAATTTACTAATACTTGAACTTGTTAAAATCTTTAGATTGGAAAATCAATTAATTAATTCACTTAAAAACCTCAATTTAGTCTAATTGAAAACTAATCATTGAATAAACCTTTGAAGACCATTTTTAGGTATAAGGAACATTGGTTCTAATTAACTGAAAATATCTTATTTAAATTTAATCAATTAAATCCAATTAATTCTTACCTATTAAATTCAATTTATCCCCTTAACCATTCAATTCAATTACTCCTCACCAAGCCAATTAAACTCTAGTGATTAAACCAATTAAAATCTTGAATTAATAATTCCAATTAGATTCAATTTAATTCTTTATTTAGTCTATTAATTTATTTAGGCCAATTCATATTAATCTAGCCGTTAATTCATGTCATAGACTTCCATTTAGCTAGAATTAAATATTCACACACATAATTTATTATTTAGGGTAAGTTATACTATCTTTTATATGCCAAAAGTGCTAACCCTAGCACATATATTTTAAGTCCCAAAACATGATAAAAGAAAAGAAAGGTTTTCTCTCTCTCACCTATTTACTAAGCACACACAACGAAAAGTTTATTGTTCCTCCTCGGTGACGATTCGTCACTTAGTGCTTTTCTCACCTACACCATAAGAAATAAAGGTGAGTGATGCTCGATGAATGTAGTCCATGCATGTATGCACATGATGCATTTTGAAATCTTTTTTCATGCCTTTTAGAATTTCAATTTTCTCTTCAAGTGTACCATGCCAATTGTGTAATTAATCGTTGCTCGTTTAAAACATGTATTTTGTGAAAACTCACAAAAGCACTAGGTACCTTTCTTTTTCTTTTCCTTCACCTCTTTATTTTCCTTTACCTTATGAGATGGTGATCATTCCTCTCATAAACTTTTCAAAGATACCTAGTCATTTTCTTTAAAAACATGTCCATTTTCTTTTCATTTATGAAAATCAAGTATGTAAACCCTCTTTCATGATAATGACATGAAAATGCATTCAGCGATATGCATTACCTTATCCTTTACGTTAAACATTCGTACTTAACAATTCAAGTGTACATGTAACATATTTTTTCAAACATAAACATGTACTAAGTCATGAAATCATGCACGAATTAATAACAATTCAAACAAACATCAATATTCATCAAATTATGCATGTGGTCGAATATAATAAAGAAATTCTTTTCCATACAACCAAGCACAATTCAATCACAAAACACTTAAATTCACACTTAAACATTACTTTAAATCATTCACCTTTAGTTTCATGAATTAGGCAATAAATCCCTTTTGATCGAATTTTACATATTGCCTAAATAAGTTGTTTTCTTCCATTTAGTCATTCATTTTGATGTTAATTTATTCTTTTAGACAATAAAATACATTAAATATTAATTATTGTAATCACCCTTAATCTTAAAGTTTTTTTCCAAATGTTATAACAAACATTCATCCTTAAAAATTATTCTATTTTTCATATTCATACAAACTTAAACACTATCAATTAAGCAAATAAACATCTAATTATCCAATTACTCCAACTAACCCAATTAATCTAAAATTTATGATTATGGTCGAATTATTCATCAAGGGTAACCTATTTCATTTTTTAATTTATCACTCCTAAACATGCTTAATCTACTTAATAAACATCCAATTAACATAAAATCATTTAACTAATTCAAGTCCCGGTAGCTTTCGCTAACCAACTTCATCATAGTGTATTGGTGATCTACACTTTCAACCATACAGAGCCTAGTAAGTGCCATACCAATACTTGATTGGTAGCTATTATTGTAAGTGAAATTTGCTAACAATAAGTTCTTTTCTCATCTTGTAAACCAGTCTAGCACATAAGCTCGCAACATGTCTTCTAGAATTTGATTCACCCTCTTTGTCCGACCATTGGTCTATAGGTGAAAGAAAATACTAAAATTTGAATTGATTCTCATCATTTAGTGCAGGGTTTGAAGGATCATGCATCCCATGAAAGTGCAAAATAAATAAATAAATAATTCTCCATCTAAGGCTCTCAAGATCAAGCTATTGAAGTAACTAATCATATATACATGAATTAAAAACGTTAGTAAAATATTACCTTTTATAGCAAAGATTTGCCCTCTCGAGAAAAAGAAGCCGTATAAGTATTCGACCTTTATCCATAATCCACACAACTTAAACACCCACAAAACAAGCCATAAAAATCAAAGAGTGTTAGCTCTTATCCTTTTGTATAGTTAAATTTTCTTTAAAAATCAAATTAGGGTTTATTCACCAATTATTGGCTTTTTAAGGAGATATGTAACTACTCCGACTTTTAGGAGAGTAAAACTTTCTCTCTTTTTTTTGTGTGTGTGTGGTAATCTTACCCCTTTTATGGCCTCTCTCCTTATTATTTATATAGGAGACGGCATCTTTGTTCTCTAAGGACGAGGTGTTGTAATATGGGTGAGCTTGTTTGATATTATCCTTGTAAACCCTAAGCCTTATCCAATAGGGGTCAAGTTTATCCTTTTATCAAAATATCTTACAGGTTTCTAAATCAAGCCTATTGCACTAAAATCTTTTAGCACAATTAATTATCAATTAATTTAGACTAACCAAAAGAATTGGGTAAGACATTTTTA